CTCTCTCTCTCTCTCTCTCTCTCTCTCTCTCTCTCTCTCTCTCTCTCTCTCTCTCTTTCTCTCTCTCTTCCCCTTTTTAAAAATATCACGATTACTCCATTCAAAATGTTCAATTATCTCAAATAATCGTATGTTGTTCTGACGTTTTTTTCCAATATATCTCTTCGATGTTTGGCAGGATTGATTGGCAACGATTTTTTCCCTCTATTCTCGTTCCTAATCAACATCGAATATTTTATAGTAACAATCGCAGATTCTACGATCTCGATACTCTTTTGTATGCATGAATATATTATTGCCCTTCATCTCGAGATGGGGTTAATGAACATGCAACACTGGAAACGAGCAAAACGTCGCGGTAACGAAATAAATCGCGAATAAAACGAGCAATGCTCTTACTTATGTAGACTCAAAGTTTGCAAACATTTTGAAAAACGATGAAAACATCGAAACATTTGAGTTGAGTATCAATAAATCGCAATATATCGTAAAATTGCACATAATTTTCGAGTTATATTATAATTTTACGATGAGATTATGATTGATACAGGAAAAACATTTATTAGTAGATATTTTAAGAAAAACTAAATGCTAATTTCTTGTCCTTTTTAAATGAGTGCTAAATCGCAAGTCCCAAATGTAACTTGTCTTCTTTTTAAGTTTATCTAAAGTTATAAATCTGTGGCTATCCACTGACAAGATATTATTGAAGATCGACAATCGTGGAGGAGTCGTATGACTTTTAAAATTTAAACAATTAGCCCATAAATATAATATTAATTTTATAATTCATTATTATCCAATGTTTTTTAGACGCATATTATTTACAGCTTGTTAACATTATAATATTCCATGCATTATCCTATTTGTGATACAATATATTATAAGTACTTATTTATGCAGGATTTATATAATAAAAGTCATGTAATAGATACATTATTTAAATATTAATATAATAGATACATTATTTAAATATTTATATCAATAACATCGATAATATCGATAATATCGATATTCTTTCCAATTACTTCTTTGATACGAAAATTTACTCAGGGCTGACTGTTTATCATCTTGTCAGTGATATACCTATGTTAGATATTTTCTTATGTATGTTTTTTTTTCAAGTTTTTGACGAAACCAGGCGCCTTTTGTGATTACTCCTGACAAATATTTGTATTAACTTGAAACGTTTATTCGATTTACACATTTTTTCGTTGATTTCACTGGCCATATTGAACCCGTATTGAAAAGCGGGGGATACATATCAGTGAGAATGAGAGCCATAATAAAAGAAGAAGAAGATCTATTCTCCGCTTATTCATATGACTTATTATATGTAAATCGTTCGCCGATAAGGAATCGCACTTCTTAACGAAGGATTTATTATTCGTGAATCGCTGATGCGGTACGACGTTCTAGCCGGAGGTATACGCTTTACGCGTGATGATCGCTTTAACTACCTTTATACAGTTACGCAATAAATTCGTGCTGTATAGTTGTTGACTGAAGGCTCGGTAATTTATAAGGAACCCATTGAACCCTCGTACACGTCGTTCACGCTAAGAAATGCTGCGGAAGCTTAAATATCTGGAAACACTTTTGTTTCCATTCTCTCATTCTTTATTTTCTATGCAATCGATCACGCAGTAATTAATCTTTCGCGAAATAGAATTCGTATGTCACGAGATTGAAATTTAAAAAATTCAGATAGTATCTAATCTCGATAAATTTAAATACAGAATCTCTATCGTTCGATCGTTGGTCGGACGCGACCAACTGCTCGTTTCTGTGTTGCGAATTTATTGAGGAATTAACATCCACGATTTTATCATTACTTTCATCCGCCCTTTCATTGAACTCTCTTGGCCCCGACAATAATAATAACTGAACATCGCTGAATGTTTTCGTTTGAAAGAAGCGATTCATCATCAGCATGTGAAATCAATTTTATTGTTCTCTCCGAAGGCCGAAAGAGTTACTTCGAGAATCAAGAAGCCTAAAAGTTCGTTCTTACTCTTCTCTGTATATTTCCTTGAATTAGTACAAAGCAAAAGAGAGTGATGTGTAGCGTTAATCCACTAAAGCCCATAATTTATTATCTTGCCTCTTTCTATTAGGTATCTCTAGAAAAATCATAGAAAAGATATTACTCATCGCTGCACGGGTAAACGGTGGCAAAATAGACTTCCGTTTAGAATATTCTACGGATGACGATTAGAAGGCTGTCTAGATGGATTTGCGGGCTTTAATGGGTTAAGAATACAGGGCCGAAAAAATTAATTGAGATATTCCCCTTTGGAAAAGGAGGGGAAGGGGAGCGGGATATAACCCCTGTTGGCGACGTCACTCTTTACCAGAGTCCGGATGAATAGCCACCGGGTGGGACGCGAGTGCGCGTCGGCGGCTTTGCCGTCGCCGGCGACGTATCGTTCGACTTCTCGCCACTGTTGCTGGAATTCGAACTGGCAATTCCGTTCTGCATGGCTGGTCCGTTCTTCTGCGACTCGGACGCGTAGCCGATTCCGGTTACAGGATTGCCATCTGTGGAAACGATTTTTTTATTAATAAGATTGTCGTGAACGAATTTCACTTGATTTCTGATATTTTTGAAATCTGGCCAACTATTTAATCGTCTAGTATTTTCTTTTAGAAAATCTCGCTATCGTGAGCTTCTTGTTCGATGACCGAGTATTGAAAAATTAAGTAATTAACTAATAAAGGCAAATAATCTGCTGTATGGTTTAATTAATTGGCTGATGTTCACACTCCATTCTCTTCGTTTTTTTTAAGATCTTGAGTAATGTCTTAAGATACTAAAACGATTCTGTAATTAGGTTATAACATTTTAAGATTGTATTTAAGACGGTCTTAAATATAAGAACGGACAATATATATATATATTTTTCTCTCTTTTTTTAAAATTTAGTCATTGAGATTTAAAATTAATCGACATCTAAATTTCATTAGTTGCGAATGAAAGGAATATGCAAAATGTTAAATTAAAAAAATTTTCATGAAACTTTCATATCTTATTAGATTATAAAAATCTGATGAAAAGACTTATGTAATTATGCAGTAATGATTTTATGTAGCAAAACGAATCTACAGACCATCCTACTTTTCGAAATTTGGAAAAATGCTAACTAAAAAGACCAAAGGTTCGCAGACAATGAATGAGAGGACGCACTGCGAAATTCATAAGATCAAAGAATTGATAAGTGGAATTAATCGAAAAGAACGAAATGTTGTTCGAAAGAACGATACAATTCTATGTTCCAAGTCGCTATATATAGACTCTCCTGGTCTCATCACTGCACAAAATTCTTTCCAGTACTATTCTATTAGCATTTTCGATCATAGTGAGTTTTAACCAATCTGGATTGGATTAATGACGTTGAACGCTCTATTATTGATAGAGTATATTCATTATCATTTTATTTTTAATATTTGATAAACAACGAGAATAAAATAATATATCATGCGTGAAACTCTCTTAATAAAGTAAAGCGTGTGACGTCATTGATTCAACTCAAATTCAAACCTGCTACGGCGAAAATAGTGAATAACCTAGTAGAACGTTTGATAAAAGTTTCATAAACGTTTACTTAAACATTTTTAACTGATCTTACATATTCTTTTCACATTAATTATTTCTAAGACACTCCATATAGAATTTGCAGCAATATCGCTATAAAATCTCTAAAATATCACTGCAATATGCAATATTGCTACAATATTGTAGCAGTGTTGTTGCAACTTTATGCTGTAGGGGACTCACTAATTTCAATACAGCTCTAAGCTATATTCAGTTCGAACATTCATATGTTACTAGCGTTCACATCGAAATCGTTCGTCATAGCTATTGTATTTAATTAGAATTCTTAATCAAAAACAGCTGGAATCATTTCCATTCATTTTGGCCAATAAGTGCTTATAAGTACTCACGCTTTTACTGCCCTATCTCGATGAAATATGTAAGCATTTGTAGATACGAGTTATGAACGCGTATCTAATAGCTTACATCGCCAAAATGAATGATGTTAATAATATTTGTAAGTGCTTGAAAGCATTCAAACCGAACGTAGTCCTAACGATACGCAATTTCCAAATAGAAGCTGCGTGATTTTATTCATATTATGCAATTATAATTGCATAATATGAATAAAAATCAAATATTTAATAAAAAAAATTGTTAAATATTTGATTTATTTTTTAAATAAATTGCATCGCGTTATTTAGAGAAAACAGAGGTTCACTTATATCGGTTTTGTAACACATCAATAATCGTACTATCACGAGTAAGTATGTATAAAAACGTTATATAAAATTCTAGCCGTAAAGACAGATATATATGAGAATATATGAAAAATTAAAGAGCACGCTACGTTTCATTTCTATATACATTAACGAACAGATAAATTTCTGGCATGCAAATGATTCAGAGTGTAAGAATTCACAATTAATTCATCTATTCGACTGCTCTCATCCAATGTAACATCCACTGTATGCATATCTGAAGAAGGTTCAATCGAGCGAATTAATCGACGAGACCGAAACATGTTATATTTTTAATCAATTATAGAATATTTATATTAATACATACTTTTGATTTTTCATGTTTTAAAATACTTCTTTATTTGATCCTCATGTGCTCCTTCTTCTCTCATTATTGACAATTAATTCAGTTCCCCTTTCCTTTTCAAAGCAAAATATTGCACAAAAAACGGCAGATGAAAGATAACATAATTTTGAAGGGTTAATCCTGAAGTGAAACCCGAATTCCGGCAAGATCGCTGTTTTAATGCTGATATAATGCAAAATATCGACATATCTTTATATACTACTATATTAATATCTCACACATATATAGGATAAGGCAAAAGTAACGGAATCGCTGAATATTTCGGAAAATATAAGTTTTACAGAAAAGTGTTTCAGAAAAGTAGGGTTTAAAAAGATTTTTACTGATCTTATATTATAGTTTAATCTTGGATAGCCAAGATTAAATTATAATATTAGGTCAAGATTAAGGGAATGCTGGAGCTACCTATATTACCGATAAAACTAGTGTTTTTAACGTTTTTATTCCTGTCAAATTTTTTCGTAGTGATTTCACAGAATAAAAATTCCTTTTCTACGATTAAAATGTACATGCTAATATTTGGTGTATTTTGTATTCAAAGCTGAAGAAAATAAAAAATTGCAGTAATACAGGCGGCTCCAGCATCCTCTTAAATCAATTATTTATTAAATTAGAAATCCCCATTTTTTTCATTGCATATTCTTGTAGCTTATCTCGAGAGCTTTTCAAAACACTATAAACATTATATTTAGCAGTAATTTATAATTACACACAATATTAAATATTTTTCTATGAAGAAAAATATCTAAAATTGTAGCAGGATCATTTTCATTTGGAGCTGCAGGAGCAAAATGTTAAATATGTCACGGCAAGTAAAACATTAAGAAATTAAGTCGTGTATGTATTAATAGATTTCATTATGTTCCTAACAGAAAGACGTTGACAAATTCTGATTAAAATCCACATGCTAACGTCACGTACACGCACGCACACTACTACATATGCTACAGAATGTAGTCCCCCACCTAATATATCTTAAGACATCGTCCCTCAACTCATACAATTATAACCACGAGTACAATCATGATTGTCGTACGAGTTGAAAGCTTATCTAATATATAGAGGGATTAGGAAATGGTAAGGAGTTGCTTAATTTTAATAGGCGATTAAGCACACAATTCAATCGTAAAGCCATTGAACAACAAATTCGTATGTTGTCTATACAACACCACGAATTAACACCTGTAATAAACTACGAGAAGACACAACGATATATATGATGCTACTTATTTATTATTACGCTCTAGCATGATCGCATGAACTTACCGTAGCATCCCACGAATGCTGGGACGCGAGGTGATGAATGATGACTGAAGACTCGCTTAGCAATACCTACTTGTCGAGTTCACTTACGTTTGAATATCGTCTAATAATTTTTTTCTAAACGACTTAAGCGAGTCTCCAATGTAAAGTTCGAATGAATCTAAATTTGTTCGAATTTATAATGAATTAAATTAAATATGGGAAATGGGGATATGAGCACAAATAACGCGAACATAAATTCGCTAATGCTTTAATCGTTTTATATTCTTTTTACACAAAAGATGATCTCATTAATTTTAACTTGCAATTATTAATTCAAGTTTTATCAACTGTGTATTATCATTTGACGCACGTCGAACTCTCAAGTTCAACGAACAACGCCACATGCCAACATTAAAACATAAATAGCATGCGGTCCTCTTGGAACCTCTCTGTAGATTTCTATTTCTGCGCACTCAGAGAAAAAAAACGTAATAATAGCAACTATAAATGTGAGTGACAACTATATAAGTTTTACCTGTAAGATTAATGTATACATATTTGAGTAAACTACTTTATAATTATTGCAACTAAAATTGAATAAGGTTACTAAAATTAATAAGTTTTTGCGCGTAATTCAATTATATAATTATAATTCTACATATAAAACTTGCACAGTTACAACTTAATTGTCATTATTATAAAAAATATTCTATTCTCTCTGAGTGTGCGATCACTAAATGTTTCTCTGTGATGAGCGATGGTATGCCGCAGACCGTATTAAATGCTGCAATTAAACAACGCGAAAGATACGAAATGGTACGCCACGCTCGTAATTCTGTAGCGTTCAATACAGGATTCGCTATATTCGGAATCTCGGTTGCGAGAGAATGTTTCCATGAATCAAAATACCTTTATCTATCATGGATACACGCGTTGCAAATCTCAATTTAATCTTGCAAGATTGCAGTCAAGCCTCGTTGAATGCTCGTTGAAAAAATATGTGTGCACTTAAACTTCCTTCGTATAAATATTTATTGTGTGTTCGTATAGTTACTTCTTATAATTATTAATACGTTGTTATCGCAATTTACGAGTTGCACGTGCGAGTGAGAGGGGTAACGAGGTTTTACTTATATTATTACACTTATAATTAGCACGAATTTATCAGCGGATATATTCAATTGTAATTCCTGCTTTAAAATAGAATTCTTGCATGTAGTAATTAATTTGTTCCTTCATTCAAAACGTTCGTGTTCGAAAAATTAGCTTGATTACCTAAGAATTTTTGCAACTTGAGTTTAATTTAAACTTAAATTTAACTTATACTTTACATTAAAATACTTAATTTAATTTTGAAATATCTTTCACACAAAAATGTCATAAAAAAAAAATTAAGATAGTTCTTTAGTAAAGTGCCGAAAATTTGAGGTGCCTCAGCAGGATCCACCCAAAATTATAAATATCTGCATAATTTGGATGAAATATTAAAACTACGTGTAGTTCTCAACGAAATAGTATGGAACGATTTGATTTACGATAGTAAAGCAAAAGCAGCATTTTCACCCAACGAAAACAAGATGAGATTGTGTTGTTATTTTTCGAGATTAAACTGGGACTATGCTCAGTTTTATAGGGGAATTTGGGCCTCGGATGAACAACTTTGAGACATGCTTCAAATTTTAAGGTATCAAAAGAGAATAAAAAATTCCATAAGCCCAACTTTATAGGAGAGGTTTCCTGAGTGCTGGTACTATCCAAGTTTCGATATTATAATCATGTACCACTAGTCTTATCCAATTTCTCTGTGTCCAGAGCATCTCTTTGCGATAATCGATTGTACTAAATACATTGAAGTAACATCTAAAATGTATTTGGTACAATTCATTAATCCGGTTGACAGTTATATGGTATCTGGGATATGCCCAACATTTTGACGAAGATATCCAGCAAGAACAGTTAATGATATTTTTTTACTTTTAGAGAGTTTCGATAGGGAAGCTGAAGAGAGAAGGTTCATATTGACCATATTTCAATTAGGCAATTAAAACCTTTTGTTTCGTATTTTGAGTGTCTCTCTCTCTTTCTCTCTCCTCTTCGTCGGTTAATATATATCACTTATAATTCATTTGGAGTCCGAAAGTCTAAAAAAGGTTTTAGTTCTCTTCATTAAGATTGGACATATTCTAGATATTAGATGATTCGAGAAATCGAATAAAACCAATCCTACATGGTCATAATAGCGAAATTTGAAGAGCTGTAGTACTCAAGGGACTCATTTTACAAAATTGCATTTTACAAAGTGCATATGGAACTTTTTAATCCTTTTTTTATGCTTTACAATTCTAGCTAAGTTTCCATAATGTTCAGCCGGGGCTCAAACTGGGCATAGTCCTTTATATGCAGATTTATGCACGTAAATATCTTCCAGAATGGCCGTTGATCTATTACTTTTTTGTGTTTACAAAATTAAAATCATAATTTTGTAAACTATTATAATCCTGTTTTTGAGAAAAGTCTATGATAAAAAATTTGTGTGCAGTTAGTCGAAAGTGTCTGCGAGTCTTATCTATCATTAAATTATGTGTGAAAAATTACATTGTCAATATTTTTTTCCTCTCTTATTTCATCGTTAACCTATAGAATTTTGTACACAATTTCGGTACTTCAACTTCATTATAAAAAAAATTAGAGTTTCTATAGTAATTCGACTTACTAAAGAACCACCTTAAAAAAGTGTCACTTAAGCCTCAAGTTACTCACTTACCAATTAGAAAAAATCATATACATATATAAAATTATTTGGCGACTTATATTTAGTCGTTGTTAGGCTACATATTTTCGTCGGCTATCTTGAAACACAAATAATGAAATTCCGCAAAGGCAGAAATCAGATGAGGATCGAGACGCGATCAGCGTAATATCGCAAAAAAGGGATTAAGCAAAATATGTAGTGTTGGAAGAATCACATAATTAGTGAACGTTACCTCGATACTTTCGTGGAATGCGCCTCATGGGCGTCACCTCGATTCCGTCTCCGGTGACTGGGTTGCGCGTCGGCAATCCTCCTGTCGAGGGGATGCGGCGACGGGGGTGGCGGTTTGCGCACCGTTTGACAGCCCACGTTTTCGCCGCCACGTGCGCGCGAAGTGACGTGCGTAAGAACCCACAGAGCCATTTCACCCCATGCACCGTAACATCGTCGCAAAACCCACAACCGTAACCCAACCAACTTGTGTTAATACGCCGCAATTTGTACGGACGGATCGCAGATACTATTTTGTCCCTTCCCGAAAAAATTATCGAGACTTTAAGTCAATTTCGTATATTCTATACTGTGAATGTCTTTTTATTTACCTAAACTGTATAATAATTTATTATGTTTATTGTGTGTGCGCGCGCGCGCGCATATATAGAATGTCCCAAATTTTTTGATGTATCATTCGTAGGCAGGTAGATCGAACTGAACTAAGTCGAAAAGTCCTGTATCATTTTGCAATTTTCGCAATGATTAATGAGATATTAATTTCTAAAGAGTACTGAATAAACGGATAAAATCGACGCAAACAATTTTAAAATATCTTTCAGAATTCTTTATGAAATATCTTAAAATTTAAAGATGTTTCTTAAAGAATTCTTAAAATTCTATGCGTTAATTTTAGAGAACTTTTTCGATTCAGGAAATTCTAGAAGAATTCATCGAATTGACATTGAAAAACTCGATAAACACTTTTGGGACTCCCCTTGTCAGTTTAGTTCTCTACTTGTCCGCAAGCGGTGAATCAAAAAGTTTGAGACACTCTGTATATATAATATCTTATTTTAGAATTGTTTGTGACATCAAGCATTTAAGTTAATGATTCGGTATCTATTATTGATTAAAGAGCGTCTCCGATATCTTGGATTCGTCCGTACTATAAAATTAAGATAAAAGCAAAACAGAAATAGTGTGTGCTCAAGTTGTGAAGGAAGGTAGATGAATATTTACATAGCAACAAAAATACAGAAACAATAATAGCATCGTGAGAAAGCAGGACAAAGTGGCACGCGTGTTATGCCAATTATGAAAAAGAAAAACTGCCATATTTATCATTACCGACAATGTATGTATAGATATATCGTCGGAATTTCTTTCTGATATTAATATGCTGGTGTTATCGTGAAAAAATATTTCCGCGGTACCGTTCGCGCTTTTGTTAAACGGATCGAAGGTTATTGCAATTAAAAGTAAATGTATCAAGTAATTGTGATCAAGTTGTTTTGATGATGTACCTCGTCTGCGAAAATTCGTGAATGACTTTTCGCAAACGACATCGAAATATTTTTTTGACAAAGGGTTCTTTTGACAATCTATCTTTCAAAGCTGAATGTCAAATTACAATCAAGAGAACATATCTATTCATATTCCAAGAAAAAATATTTGGTATTTGTAACTACAATTACTAATAATTAATAAAATAATTGTGTGATTAGGAACTCCCTTTTTATAGTTATTATTAGCATTACAATGTAATGCTAGTAAATTATAATTACATATTTATAATTCTAACGTATAATTATATTTATAATTTAACCGATGTGAACCTGGCGCTCAATTTTATCAAAAATAATATCGTAGGCCATTTACTTCATTTGTACCGACCATTATTTTGTTCGTACCTCAAACAAAACAATTAAACAAAAAGTGAAAAATAAAAAATGGGCAGCGCGCAACTTTAAGATTTTTTAATTTCATTTATGTCATTCGAAAGAGAATCGTTTGTACTCGTTTATATCTCTCCTACTTTCATTTGTACTTCCTCAATGGATTCGGAGATATAGCGATTTCAAAATTTCGGAAATGCGCCAAAAGGGGAAGTCGGTCATTTTTAAAGATATCGAAATGGGATCAACAATGAAAGGAGAGGTACAAACAGGTACAAACGATTTTTCTTTCCAATGCCATTGGTCTCATTTCGATATCTTTAAAAAATGGCTAAGTGCGCTACGTAGGAGTCACGCAAAAACTGAAACGCGCTATATCTTCGAACCCTTTGAGGTACAAAACGAAAGTAGGGGTAGTACAATACAAACGGGTACAAAACGATTCTCTTTCGAATGCCGTTGGATCCATTTCGGTATCTTTAAAAATAGCCGACTTCCCCTCTTACATTTCCGAAATTTTGAAATCGCTGTATCTCCGAATTCTTTGTGGTACAAAGGAAAGCAGAAGAGATATAAATGAGTAGAAACGATTCTCTTTGGCATAAATGAAATTAAAAAAATCTTAAAATTGCGCGCTGATCATTTTTTATTTTTCATTTTTTGTTTAATTATTTGAGTTACAAATGAAATAATGATCGGTACAAACGAAGTACAAATGAAGTACAAACAGTATTAATTTTTATTTTTGATAAAGTTGAGCGCCAGGTTCACATCGGTTATAATTAATAATCATTTTCGATGTTAACTAAACTTTTTTATATAAAACTATAAATGTAATTATTGTCACTAATATTATAACAGTAATACTACAAAACTGGAGCTTCTGATATTTACAATCTCATATTTACTGTACAATTGTAGTCACAAATATACTAAACACTTTTCTTTGTACCTACTTTTCTTTCAGTGTATTTAGTATCTACAGAGTAATATCTACAGAGACAAGATTGATGACATAAAATAATAATTTACTTTAAATTAATAACATTTAAAAATTAATAACATAATTACAAACATAAATTTCCGTCGTGATTTGCCGCTCCTCAATGTCGTTTACTACAAGTTCATCACAAGTATGCGGGAAACAATATAAATTATAATTTAACGTAAAGCAAGATATAATATTATTAGCAGAATGATACAAACTTAAGGCCTAAGCGGAAATATGGCACGTCTAACTCAAAATATGTGTTCCTACTTTTGTGGCAGGCCCTGAAATAACGTGATGATGCGAATTCTTTACGAAACCCACGACAAATCAAACGTTTCTTTCATCGTAACAGTCACGATTCAATTTTTTCCATGAGAGCTATCATTTTTTTTTTTTTTCGTCGAGAGAAATAATTCTCGAGCAATTTTCATTCGCGTCTAATCATGATAAAAAAAGAAAGTGTGGTAGTGTCGTGTGTCATCTACTTGAATGTCTCGTTACACACTTACGAAATCGTTTCTTTCTCCTAAAAGCTGCTTGTGAACAGTTCAAGGAAGGTGACATATATTAAAAAAAAAAGAGCGATATATATATTAGTCAGTGATATTCATTTAGAATCCTTAGTGTCTCGCTAGCTCCGTATCGACGGGCCGAAAATTGACTCGGCGATAACTCGGTTTGTTTGCGCAAAAAGAAAAAAGCATATCGATTTCGCGGCCGAGAACTTTCAAAGAACTTTCGCCATTAGAATTTTATAAATAATAAAAGATCGCACTATCGATCGAATATGGTATGTTTTCAATGTAAGTATTCGCGTCTATAGCGTAATCGAGATAACGAAATCTTTTATCTTTCTTTACGAGAAAATCGTTCTCAAAACGCGAAGCAAAGTTTCTCTGCGCGTGTATTTTTAATAAGCGTGAACTTCTAGAGATCAAATACGGTTTCCGATGAGAAAGTTACTTCCCGTCGACAAGAGCGTGATAATTAGAACGGAAAGCGATTTTTAGCGCCAAGAGCCTGCGACACACATATTTCAATTTAGATCAGGATCGTCGTCCCTTGGCATTTTAGAAAGGAGCACCACCTGAATGTGGAAACAGTTTAGGGAGTCCCGGGGTGGATCTGCACATTTTCAAAGACAGTCATCTTTATCTAATCCGACATTATCGAATATTCGATATTTCAAGGTAAATAATTTACAACAGTTCCATAAATTAAGGCTTCTTTACGCATCTTACTGCTATCTTAGATTGTGATGTCAAAAGCAAGAAAACACAATAAAACTTCTCAAATTATATTTGAATAGAAATCATTTTTTAATAAAGCATTTGCAATCGATAAAATAAAATTATAAAATAAATCAAAAACTATCTTTTGTTTAGGGAAGAAATTAAATCATATTTATTTCCTATATACATATGGATGATTCAGAACAACTTCCGGTCCATGAAAAGATATGTTCCTGACTTAATTTTAACAAAGAAAATCATCTAACTTGGAAATTCAAAATATTATTGAACTTTGGCAATAAGTACATAGGATATTTCGACATGTAATAAACCATTTTTTTTGCTGTCCGAATTCATTCTAAAAAAATAAAATCAACTTTTGAAGATTATCCCATTCTTCGTTTTTTACTTTATTATTTATCAATAATAAAAGAATAAAATTTTAGAAAAAAAATGTATTTCTTTTAATAAGATTTGTAGATTAGAAACATTTTTTCAAAAAATATATGAAACAGAAGCAATATATTCTCAATATTGATACTCCCTACAATACTGGCTTTTCTATAATACTGTATAAGATATTAATATATGTTTTATTCCACCATATTTACAATTAATTGAAGTTAATTACTTCCGCGATATATAAAATATATGGAAAAACCGGAATACACATATTTATAAAATAAACATATAATTATATATATATATATCAAATTTTTTAAAGTTATAAAAGCAATATTATTTTATATATTGTACAATTAAAATGTCATCGTTACAAATAATTTATTTACATTATTTTTAGAATTTGATCGGTAAAGATATGATGCTGAAATATTTTATTTTTTACATAACGTACAAATAGTAAAGTATTTATAATATATATGGAGTGTGAGAAAGTATTTCATAATTTATATTATTTACTTAAAGAATAATATAAAATATTGAGGTCACATTTTTTTGTACTGTTATTGATGTTATTTATTATTAGTAATATAAATATATAGGGTCTTCAAAAAGTCTGGAAGCACTAAAATATCTCGAAAACGATAAATTACAACAAAAAATATATAAAAAGCAAAATAGTTAAATAAAATATACTTTAATGATGATAAAAATTTAACTTTGGATGGAGTTTATAGTGTCATATAAGTCAAATTGAATTCTCTTATAATGGAATTTTTTAAAATAAATTATTTTTTCGTTAAGTAAATCTCAAATTTTGAGATTTGAAACTTATAGTCATATAAGTCATTAGCATCATTTGTTTCATCCAATATGTCCGACTAATGATTAAAATTCTTTGAATATTGTTCAGATTGTCATGTTTCTGACATATCATATGTCAAGGTCAAGGCCATCGAAAGTTGTTTCTCTTATTTTCCTTTTAAAAAAATGGATTTTTAGTGCAAAAATAAAAATAGGAATGAAAAAAAATTTACAAAAATGTGCAATAAAAAATAGACAATTCTATTACAAACAGACAAGAATTAAGGTTTTATGAACTTTATTAATATTTACAATAATTAAAAAATATAGAAAATGATATCTTATGTTAATGAAATACATCTCAAAATTAATCAGATCTTTTCCATTCATGCAGTATATTTAGAATTGTCTCTATCTTTTCTCCTTACGGTCACCGCGACACCTTTCTTTTCTAAAATCTATTCTCTATTTTTCTTCAGAGATTTAATTGAATATACAGAGAACTATATAATCTATAACAGTTTTGGAAACGATCTTTATGTAGTGACATGATAATGCTGTTCACAAGACTTGCAAATGCTGACGCTACCAATACACAACCTTGGAAAGAACACCATTAATAGGATGCAGTTATCATATAAAACGCTATTATTAGTGATGTTATGATTATGTTTCTTAGCGCTATCTGCAGCTCCGCAAACTTTAGTTTTTGTAACGTTAAATATCACGAATAGCGTCTCTCCGAATGCATTCTATTTCTTCTTTTAATTCAAAAACTAAACCTCGGACAAAATTTTGGTAAAGGAAAAATCGTCCTAGAATCATGTAGGAATACTTTTCAAGGATACCGGAGTTGTGTTCTAAATCACCCGTAATATATTATTGATTTCCAAATATATTTATTAATTAACAAAATAAATTTTCAACATTTACAAGTCGGTTCTATTGATTGCAAATGTTATTTTAAAACATTTAAAACATTTTAAAACGTCTACACATACGCACACGCACGCACGCACGCACGCACACACACATTTTGCAAGAATATTTTTATTGTGTCTTTTTCACTCTTGATATATACATCATTCTCTAAGATAGTAGTGAGAAGACTTTAGTTACCAATAAAATTGCAAATTTATTCCAAGTAAATTATTCTGTTAGATATAATATCATAGAAGAGAGTGATTTTTAAATATTAAATAGTTCTCAATATCATCGAATTGCTAATTTATAGATATCGTTAACGATACAACTAGATTCTACCGAGAAAAAGTAGACAAATGACTGCCGTCCACCCCGAGACAGACTTCGTTACCGCTTCCTCGTTCGCCACCGACTCTTACCTGTCATATCATTGGAGGAATTGCTGCCGTTGCTGGCATAGCCATTGGCGATGCCTGACGTCGAATTGTTGCTGGTCGTGCTCTTCGCGGGCGACATCGCGGTGCCCGACGATTGCGACGAGATCGATGATTCCCCGCTGAGGGGAATATTGCTGCGCATGTGATTTCTCGCGTTTGGGGTGGATGGGGCATCGGGGGGGCCAAACAGGCGTTTGTATGAATCATTACCGGGCTTGTTGCTGCGAGGCGACACAGCAGCGGTCGCGTTGTCGGTGCCGTTGGTGTCACCGAAGAGGGCCGAGCTCAGCTGGGACTGATTGTGGGCCTTGATGCGCCGTGGGCTTGTTTCTTCTGGGGCCGCGCCGAAAATATCGCTGCTGCCACCACCGGGCGGTTTCAACACCCTGAAATCCAAACAAAAGATGAAATGATAAGCGGAAAGAACCGAAGAAGAAGAGATTAAAGATTTGAGATTTAAAAGTAAAAATTTGTATCTGTCAAAGAGAGTATCTTCGCGCTAAGAATATTTTTTATGTAGATTATGGGTTAAAGGCATAACAAAACTTTCCTTCCTTTTATTTTATCTTTTTTAAATTTCTTACACCTAGATATACATTATAAAGATGAGCGATGTTAAAAAAAAATAACTCGAGTGACAAAAAATCGATTTTTAAAAACATTTGATTTTCTATAATCGAGAATCTCTAAAAAAAAATCGATTAATCCAAAATGTTTTAATACAATTTAATACTTAACTCTTTAAGAAGAGATTAATCGTTTTTAAAGAAAATTCAAGAAACCGTTTTTTTTTCTTTTAACATTTGTTAAATAATAATTATTCGAAGTTCTTGATTTTCAGTATAGTAGTAAAATATCGGAACGCCGTCATAATATTATTTTTCTGCAATTCCAATAATAAAACCTCCAAAAAATTCAAACTTTGGAGTTTTTTAAAGCAGATAAAACCAAGTTTTTTTAGAATGAGTAAAATAATGCCACCGTGACAAGATTAATTATGGGGCAAGCACTGACAATAGTCAAATCTACGGTGAAATCGAATTGAATATCCCAAGTTTCACATCTCGATAAGCAAATGCGCCGAGCACATAGAGAACGCAGACGATGCAATTTGCGAATGCAAACCCGCCCTGATTTTCATTTAACGAGGCGCAATGCATGCGGCACGCGCACATTGTCGCGTGCTATGAAAGCTAAAGAAAAAAGGGTAAAAAAAGAAACTAGGGGGAATTAGCTCGAGTAATTAGGAATATGAAGCACTTCCTTTTTCTCTCCGAAGTATTATACTTTGGAGATGAGAAGAGGAAGGAGCAGGTTCTAGAAGCGTAATATCAATTAGGGAACGACGCGTGTTCTGTGCGTGTCCCCATTTTTTTAATCGCTCGTAGAATATTACTTAACTCGGAGAACAACTGCTTTTATCTTATAGAATTAACAAAAATTGAATTAAATGAAATAGCAATTAAACAAAATGTAAATGACGGTTCAATAGAATTAAGAAATTTAACGATTTATCTAACAATAAATGACAAAGGAGTAATCTTGAACCAATGCATGTACATTAATAACTACACAAACATTTCGACTTTTAACATTGATGTGCATAAGAAATGAATATCCTCTTCAAAACTCTCTAAATATTCATAAGAATGTTACAATCAAAAATTGATTACATTAAATCATTTTCAATATTATTATGTAGAATATATAGATGAATGCGAGGAATGCATAGATCCAAAAATATATAAGTACTGTCTGACAACATTTACAAACTATGTGTCCAAAACGTATTGTAAGAAAGCGTAATTCAAAATATTTCATGCTTGATTTGATGCATTATATCTGCATCTTCAAATCCAATATATTCACACAACATTTAATTTATAGCGAACCGTCTCAAACAGTTAAAAATTATAAATTCTTATAATCTTTCTCCTCGAAAGCCAATACAACAATAAATATCAAATACAATATAATTTCAACTATCCACAGAATGTAAATCTATACAGTGGAGAACAATAATATTCAAGTGAAAGAAAGAAGATTCAGAATCCAAAATGAGGAGATACACTACTTTGCTTATTGATACAAATAGCCTTTTTTTCCCATTTGGATTATTTCTTAGACATCATTCTTTTAAGATATGAAGGCTCATTATCATCCAAAATCGTAACATTCTTCCAATCAAATTCATATTTTGCGACCATTCTATACTCTTAAATAATTGAGGTATAATCACTGTTTTTTATTAATATTCCTTTGTGTTCATTGACACTCGTTTTTAACTGCCTCTTAGTCTGTCCTACACATATTGCATTACACTTAAAACAATCAATCTTGTCGCTATATCGCATTTAGATATCTTTTCCAGTTCCTATATCATAAACTTATTTAATTTATTAATGTGGTATGATAAATGCAACTTAACTATTAATCATTTTCGCAGCAATTGATTTATGATGACTGTAGTATAATATATTAATTCTGTACATGACATTCAGTATTGGCTCAAGATACCCCTTTGATGACAAATCGAATTCTTAAATGAAATACTTTACCAACAGAAGAATGACTTAAGTATCAATTCAATTAAATATTGGAATTACTTTACAAATTTAGTTTAAATTTATTTTTAAAAAATATATATGGACCGTTTTTAAAAATTAAGATCTACATTAATTTATATATAAAATTTATATATAAAATTGTTTCGGACATTCTTAATGTATGTTACATGCGTGAACACACATACATGCACGCACATAAAAAACATTTTCGATGAAGTGAGCAAATTTGCAAAATGATACTGCAGAATAAATAATTGTGCGTTGCACTCATTTCGAATTAACAAATGATAGTAAGAAATCATTAATTCGCGATCAAGGAAACGACGTTCCAGTTTAATTAATGACGCGCGGCCTTCATTGCGCGGCGTTGCATCTTGCGCGTTGCACTATCATGATGATGAATGGACGTTTCCGCGTTATTACATCTCGCTTGATTGCATATCAGAGAGAAATTAATAGAAATGTCGGGGAGCCGTGCGCAGCTAGATTTTGCGAAATCTTCTGTTAGTTTATTGCAGCATCACTAATGCAGGATATATCTTTATCGAACACGCATTTGCAATCTCTTATTTCATCTCTTTTCAATCGCTCAAGATTTTACAACGTTATTCATCCTTTCGATAGTTTTATTTACTAATTATACTGTACGGCGTATTTAAATTTTTTTTTCTACACCACGAACGAGACAAAGTTCTTCTTAGATTGATGATTCTTACAGAATTTTTTGTCGCTGAAAATGAATTGTCGTGTAAATGAAATTGCTCATTCATTAAAAAAAAACTAACTTAAAAATTCATCTACAAA